CAAAGCAAGGGCATTTCTACTGCTACGGCGCCGATGGCTGCGACCAGCAACCACGACCCAATACGGATGCGACCAGCGCTATATCGACGCCAGCAACCACGATCCAATACGGATGCGACTGCTCCGCAAGCCTCTTGCGCGCATGCACGCACTTATGCCAAGGTACTAATGCAGGTGCTCGATGGCTGCGACGCTGCTCAACACGTTTCGGATACCACCCATCGAGCTTGGCGATCATCGATACTCGACACCGCAGACCCAAGCTCGCTTGCTGCATGAGGACGCAGCGATATTTGCGTACCTGACAAGCCTACGGCCTCGACAACGCGACCTACACGAAGCGCTAGAAGATGCGCGCATCATCGTAGACGAAGCAAAGATAGCTTAGGTCGCCTCTCTGGCCGCGTGTGCATCGCGGTCGACGTCCATGAGGCCAAGGTCCGGGTTTCCGAGGTCCGGGTTTCCTACCTGCCAAACTACCTGTACCTGCCGGTCTACATGTACCTGCACGATTTTTTGCGCAGGTAGAGCGGCAGGTACAGGTAGTTTGGCAGGTTGATTTCACAAAAAATGGACTCAATTTCGGCCAATTAGATCGCGCGAAAAATCCTACCGGAAAAACTCCTACCTGCCGACCATCATTGACACCCACGTTTGCTCCTTCCCTCTCAACTATGTTCCATCACACGCGATGTGACAATAGATAGCCGGGAGTGCGGAAGCCCGAGCATTGTGAGCCAAAAGCATCTCGCTCCAAACGCTCCACAGAATGTGCTGGACGTCGTCACTTCGTGAATGTTGCTAGGAATCACAATCTTGTTCCGCTGGAAGGGGAGACCGTCGCAACAAGTGCAGAAGACAAAGACTGCGGCGTGATAATCTGATTATTGACCCTTGTCGAGCATTGCGCGCGTTGTACGACGGCAACGACGAATCGCGGTCTACTCCCCAAAGTGTCTTCTATCACTGTACTCACTATGGGCGATTCCGTTTCGAACGTGATGTTGTCGGCAAGCGGCGTCGGCGTCCTGGCGTGATGCCGCTAAGATGGCACTACGATCTTAGTTTGGAGTGCGTTGTGCCTCTCAGATGGCACTACAAGTACGATCTTAGTTTGGCGCGCATCTTGGATCGCATTTCGCGACTGCTGTACGCCTCGTACGTCAGCGCGCCCTCGCTTTCCGTACTCTCCACAGCGTCCTCTACTACTGTGCCAAGTCTTGGCCATTTCGTTGTCGAACGCAGAGTGGTCGATCGCGGCCTGGTCATGCTGCACCAGATATCCGGATAATGTGTCTAATAACACGCAAGCTGTCGCGGTGCGTCCCCGATTGCGAATTGATGGCCAAAGTCGGTCAAAATACAAAATGGCTCCTACGCCGTACCGTGATAAAGTTTGCTTTGCTTAGCACGGAGCACCAAGTTGCACCGTCGTGCGCGGCCTACAGCGCTCGAAACTCGTATCCAAAGTGATGCCGAATTGCACTATTTGCGGCATCATGAGGAACTTATATATGGCACATGCCATTTTCAACAAAGGAAACGCATCAGAAGCTCTCTTGCCGTCGCCATGTGAGAGAATACGAGCGCGCATGCTTGGTACGGGCTTGATGCTGATGTTGGGCTCTTGATGAGCGCAAAAATCGGCGGCCGAGCGGACCCAAGTGCTCGCGCACACGCTTCGGGGCGACCTTGGCCATGCGCTTGACGACATTGTTGGTGGCGTCCGTGAGGCCCACAGCGAGCGCCGAGACAAGCGCCGCGTCGACTTTGACCGCGAGGTCAACTTGACGAGCGGGTTCTCATCCCAAACGAGCGCCACAAGCGTCGGGACGACAGCAAGCGTGGCGGCAACCCACGTCGGCACCAGCGAGAGACTGAGCAAGCTCGATGCTACCAGCGCCGCCAAGTGGTGAAGCGTTCAAAGCTCCGTCGACGGCTGCACGAGCTCCTCGACCATCCCGACACCATGTTCTTTGCTGCCGAGCAAGAGCGCGAGGGCAAGACCGTTGCTCGCGCGCATACGCCGGAGGTCGTCGTCCATCATGAGGAGGCGCGAAGGGCGTCCTCCACTGCGAGTACAGCCGACGCTGAGACCTTGGCGCCGACGCGGTTGTGAATCGCAACGAGTGCGTCAAGGCTGGCCTCCTTGACGCCGCCCGTCGTCGACGCAGCCTTGTCCGTGAGCTCGGCAATGAGCGGGTCCATACATCTCGGTCGTGACCATTGCTCATGGTCAATTTGAAACTCAACTGACATGGGTGTTTCTATTGGCTCGATTTTAAATTCTTTATAGCCAATCACAAGACTACGTCTTATATAGTGTGCGTTCCCACAATGACGAATCGCAACTCACAGACTCGCCAACCTCACGTAGGAGATATGTAGGCCTCTCTACACACTCATTGAACGGTGTACATGTCGTTTCCGACGCTGAACGCGGCGTAATCACGCGTAAATCCATTTTTCATAAATTTGAGGTGGTGGCACAATTGCTCGATTACTCAACATGACATCGCGGGGTTTGAAAGCCCCAACGACCCCAATTCTGGCTGCCACAGTTGGCTATGGATCTTGACCCGATGTGCGACCAGTTTGTTGGGCCGCGCCGTTGCTTGGGCGCTCACACCAAACTCAAACTGCCGAGCGTCGGTTTTCCCAAAATGCGGCACGATATTTCGATTGAAAATAGGTTGAAATCGCGGAAACTGAGGACGCCATCTCATTTTGTTGATGTTGGAGAGCGTGTTGCATGTGGCCGAGGAAGGCATCGCGCCTGCGATATGCCCCGTAATGAGCAGCGTAAGGAGGCCTGTCTGTCATACAGTATTTCAGTGTAACCAAATACACACTATATGCTAGCCAATCACCAGTGTCCTTGCCCCATTTTACGTTTTTGTGGACCATCGTCGCGCAGGACCGCCAGCACGTGTGGCAAGCCGTGCGCAGGCCTCGGGCCGCGGGCTCATGCAACGTTGATGTAGGCGTGGCGCAGCTACAGCATCCGTGACGAGCCACCGATGCGGCCCTAGGGCGGAGCCCTGGCCAAATTTTTCGACGGCCTCTCGCGCGTCGGCCACGCGACCGCCTCCGTGAGATGCGCTTG